TTTACGATTATGAACGGAGGAAACAAGTTTGCTCCAAAACGTTGGTGCTGCGATAAGCAAAGGCTCTGCGACCTGTTCAAATTCCCGTTCTTGGGCCAGTTTCAAAGGCAATTAGATGGGCGATTGTGTTGTCCGCGCGGTTATTCATGTGGCTCCTGTGAGCTATGGACGGGTGTGAGTGCTGCCCGCTGACAAGAACACCAGGATGACTGTGCTTGGGGTGCGCCCGGGCACGTGCTACATACGTCAGTACCACGAGCGCACCGGGCAATTACAGGATAGCTGTAAGGTGACCTGTACGCTTGGGTGGTTTGCGCACTGCACTCTACTAAGCCCGACCACCCGAATTCTATTCCAGGTTACAGTTCACTGATGATATCAGTGGCGAGTGATTTCAGAATCGTCCTCCAGAGCCCCCCCCCCCCCATACAAACCCTGCGTGGTGAAGTATGGTCAAAACAACCCCACAACTGTGTGGGGAGGGCTGAATCCAGCAATTGGACTGACAACAGACTGAATTTATAATTATCATTATTCATGTTTGTGTGTGTGTATGGGTGTGTCAGTGTGTTAAGATAACTTATGCCAAAAGTCTGTTAAGGGGGGAGTCTTTGTCTTTGCGGCACAGTAGGGAGAGCACGTGGTGCATCTGCTATGAATCTCAACCTGTCAACCCTTAACACCTGGGTCTGTCAGCATCGGGTCTTTGAGGCTATCACGTGATAGCCTCAACGCGTCAACGAGTCTGGCAGACACGCTGTGGCCACGTCCCTGTCGCATGGTGGCGAATAGCGCCTGTTCTTGCGTGTGTGTTTGTTGCAGGTGTGTACGTGTGTGTGTTGTGGGGAGCGGTAGTGTAGCGGATAGCGCGCTACGCTCGGAACCTGGCGACCGGGGTTCGATTCCCGCTCACAGCCAACACCAGTGACGATTATCTGAACCGGTCCCGGGCCTCCTCTAGGTCGACTCAGCCTCAAATGAGTACCTGGTGCGGTGTGTAAACATCGCCACTAGGGAGACAAAGGCGGTCGGGCGTGGTGCTGGCCACCCACCCCCTCGTGTACCGTTCCGGCTTTCATAGGTGCTCGCTAACAACACTTGCCCCTACAGTCTGTCAAGGCTATACGGGGGATCTTTGTCTTTGTGTGTTGTGGGGAGCGGTAGTGTAGCGGATAGCGCGCTACGCTCCGAACCTGGCGACCCGAGTTTGATTCTCGCTCGCGGCAAACACCAGTGGCCAATATCTGAACCGGTCCTGAGCCTCTACTAGGTCGGCTCAGCCTCAGCTGAGAACCTGGTGCGGTTTGTAAACATCGACGCTGGGGAGACAAAGGCGGTCGGGCATGGTGCTGGCCACCCACCCCCTCGAGTACCGTGCTCGCTAACAGCACTTGCCCCCAAAAGTGTGCTAATTCGACACGGGGGATCTTTGTGTTTGTTGTGTGCATGTATGTGCTTGTGCGTGTGTTTCTGTGTGTGACGTGATGGTTCGCGCTCCATGCTACGAACCCGGCTACCCGAGTTCGATTCGCGCTCACAGCGAACATCGGTAACATATATCTGAAACGGTCCTGGGTACTTCAGATGGTTGACTCATTCTTAAATGGTGGTGGGGGTTTAGCAAAAAAATCAGCCTTGAGGAGACAAAGGTGGCCGGGCGTGGTGCTACACACCTTCGTGCGCCGTGCTAGCCTCAATAGGTGCTCGCTAACAGTACTTTCCCCAACAGTCTGGCTAAGGCTATGTGGGGGATCTTTGTCTTTGTTGTGTTTGCATGTGCTCGCACGCTTATTCTTACAGTGAAGTTTGGCACGGGGGGGGGGGGGGTGCACCCGAGTCTGTCCTGCGTCCTCCTGCTAGAAAGAGCCTTGACACTTCACGTGATGGCCTCAGAGCGCACCTCGCCTGGTGCGAGCGATACTCGCCACTTCGAGTGTGTTCATGCAACTACTCAGTCACTCCAAGTTCGACACCCTACGATGCACGTTGTACGAGAATCTATCTGAGGCATCTCCATAACTGTCAACCCCTTATCAGTGCCCTACCTTATTACAGACCAATTCACACCTTATTGGTCACCCGTGGCCCTTATAAATCTCAACGTTCATCCTACAAGGTCCCATCATCACAAGGGAGAAACACAAGCAAGTAGACACTTTTGTTGTTAAATTTTGACTTAAAACTTTCGTGACTGCAGGAATTCATATTAATGGTTCTTTTGGTAAAGTTACGTAGATAGAAAATAAAAGATAATAAAATAAAAGCTAATAAAATAAATTTAAAATAATAAAAACAAACAAACCCACGACGTTTCGATCGCAACACAAGCGGTCTTCATCAGGCCTGAGTCTTTTGGCTTTTATTATTTTCAATTCATAATTTGTATTTTTTAAATTTCATTTTATTATCTTCAATTTCATTTTCTATCTACGTGACTTTGCCGAAAGAACCAAGAACATGAATACTCGTGTTGTTTTTCGATTTAAAGCTTTCGTGACTGCAGGAATTCATCTTCTTGGTCCTTTACCGAAAGAACCAAGAAGACTTGTGTTGTTGTTGTTGTTGCCGGTATTGAAACGGCCGTACGCCGAATGGACCAAGACAACTCACTCTATCCCCCTGTACAAGGGGCATTATAAACCGTGTGGGTTTACAGCGCTACATCTCCTGGGCTGACTCAGCCTTAAATCAGCGACTGGGACGGTGTCAATGAATAATACCGTGTACAATAATGCCATGTCGCTGGGTAGACGCATATCCAGCCACGCCACTGCCTCGCTTGCCGCGCCAGCCTTAAGCATAATACGTGCTCGCTAACTTGACATAACAGTCGACGACAGGGGTCGCCAAGCTGCGGCTCCGGAGCCGCATGCGGCTCTTTGAGCACCGTCTCGTATTCAACACGCAGTGCATTGTGGCTCTTGAAATATTGAGAGCTTAAAAAAAAACAAATTTTAAAAAAATGCTCTCCTTGTTGTTTCGGTTTTGCCGACCCCTGGTCTAAGAGGATATTTATCTTTGTGCTACAAATCCTGATAATCAGAGGAGTTCCGAGGCAAATATCCTCCCATTCAGTCTGGGCAGATTCTTGGGAGGAAGTGATGTTCCCACGACTTTGTCGTGGACACTTGTTGTGCTGCTGGGCCACACGAGAATTCCAACTCGGGTCGCTGGGTTCGTGCGCTAACCACGACACTGCCGCTCCTCAGCAAAGGAACCAAACTGCGATTTTTTTTCAGAAGCAACCTGGCCACGAATGATGACTGAACGAAGTGGCTTGTCACGTCTAAATTTATATCAGGCAAATAGTCTAAACGCGTGATTCTTATTGTGGAGGGGAAACTGGAGGATCACAAATCCACGCGACCACGGGGAAAAACACAAACTCCAAATATACAGTAGGCGTCGGGGTCGAACCGACGACCTCCTGCATATCAGGCGAGGGAGATAACATATCGCCACCACAGCGCCCGGAAACTCCAAATATAAGGTTCACAAAGACAAAGATCAGACTAAATTTCGATTTAAAGCTTTCGTGACTGCAATGATTCATCTTCTTTGGTTCTTTCGGTAAAGTCACGTAGAATGAGAATAAAATAATAAATTTTATCAATTTATTATAATAAATTTTATCAATTTATAATACATTTTATCAATTTATTATTTTATTCTCATTCTACGTGACTTTACCGAAAGAACCAAAGAAGAAAAATCAGACTTTTGGAGCAAGTTTTGTTAGCGAGCACCTATGAAGGCCGGCACGGCACACAGAGGGGGTGGGTGGTCAGCACCACGCCCGGCCGCCTTTGTCTCCTTAGCGACGATCTTTTTACGCACCGCACCAGGTACTCATTTGAGGTTGAGTTGACCTAGAGAAAGGCCCAGGACCGATTCAGATAAGCGTCACTGGGTGTTGGCCTTGAGCGGGAATCAAACTCGAAACCGCCGGGTTTGTAGCGCAGCGCGCTGACCGCCACACCGCCGCTTCGGCGGTGTGGCGCACGCATCTGTCGCACTAAAATTGCCACTTGACGTTGTATCGCTAATCTGAGTTATCCGCGCCGAGGACGGGGGTTCGTGACCGCTTGGACTTTGGTGTCTGGGTTCACCGAGTGCGTGACAAGGCGAATGAGCGAAAGAGTGAGAGAGTGCGTGAGATGGTGAGTGGCTGTAAGGAGTGAGAGAGTGAGTGAGATGGTGAGTGGCTGTTAGGAGTGAGAGAGTGTGTGAGATGGTGAGTGACTGTTAGGAGTGAGAGATTGCGTGAGATGGTGAGTGGCTGTTAGGAGTGAGAGAGTGAGTGAGATGGTGAGTGGCTGTTAGGAGTGAGAGAGTGAGTGAGATGGTGAGTGGCTGTTAGGAGTGAGAGGGTGAGTGAGATGGTGAGTGACTGTTAGGAGTGAGAGAGTGCGTGAGATGGTGAGTGGCTGTTAGGAGTGAGATCGTGAGTGAGATGGTGAGTGGCTGTTATGAGTGAGAGAGTGAGATGGTGAGTGGCTGTTAGGAGTGAGAGAGTGAGTGAGATGGTGAGTGACTGTTAGGAGTGAGATCGTGAATGAGAGAGTGAGTGCGTGATGAAGTGAAACGAAACACTATTTGAAGAAAAAGTAAACTAATGAGGGAGAGGGCGAGTGAATGAGTTCTTGAGTGAGAGGATGAGTGAGATCGTGAGTGAGTTCTTGCGTGAGAGGATGAGTGAGACGGCGAGTGAGTGAGTTCTTGCGTGAGAGGATGAGTGAGTTCTTGCGTGAGAGGATGAGTGAGTGAGTTCTTGCGTGAGAGGATGAGTGAGGTAATGAGTGAGTGAGTTATTGCGTGAGAGGATGAGTGAGATCGTGAGTGAGTGCGTGATGAAGTGCGTGAGAGGGCGCGAGTGAGATATTTGGCAAGAAGCTGTGGGTGGCGCCACTCGTGGCGAAGTGGTCCCTTTAACAAGCATTGCCGAGGCGACCGACTGCGACCCACAACCCGCCACCCCTCACACAGACTCCCACACTCACCTGGCCGGTGTCAGCCTTGGCAGGCAGCCCCTACCGTCCACCCGGGAGCCATCACGACCTGGGTAGCGGTCCCGCTGAAAACGGACACCAAGATTGTACCGGGAGCACGCGAACTTCTGGGTTGAGGCGAATGATGATGACGGTGGTGGTGGTGGTGGTGACGGTGGTGGCGATGGTGAATTTTTTGGCAAACTCGTTTCTCTCTGCTTATTTCCGTCGTCTCTCGCTGCCACTCGCGTCTCTTGCCAGGTGTGACGCAGCGTGATTGGCCAATAGTGTCCACGGAGCCCCGCCCATTTACACACCTGGAATTCAACCCACGCAAACCGACCCCTCCCTCTTCACACGCGCAACAACAAATGACAAAGATCCCCCCGTGTAGGCTTTTAGCAGGTTATTGGTGGGCAGAAAATGCTGTCAGCGAGCGCCTATTAAGGTCGGTAACGCCCACAAAAAGGTGCTGTGGCCATCACCACGCCCGTCTGCCTTTGTGTTGTTTTTTTCTTACGGGGCTGATGTTTACTAACTTCATGCTGAGTCTACCTAGGGGAGACCAGGCGCGTGATTGTAGCGCAGCGCGCTCAAGACGAGCTGCTCTTCATACAACATAAACACAAGTCCACGTACAGACACACAGACGCCCTGACACACACACGCATACCTAAACAACTGTACTTTTTTTTAAGTCACAAAGACAAAGATCATCCGTTTTAGCCGAAAAAAGATTGCTGCGGCAAGTGCTGTTAGCGAGCGCATCTTAAAGCTGGCACAAGACACCAGTTATCATTTAAGTCTGAGTCGACATACGGGAGGCCCAGAACTGGTTCAAGAACAGTTATTTTTGGAAGTCGATCACGAATCGCCGCTATCCACGACATTAATAAACATATACACAGTTCACACAAAGACAAAGATCCCCCGTTTTGCCGTCAACAGACTGTTGGGACAAGTGCTGTTAACGAGCACGGTTCAAAGAAATGCCGCACAAAACTTAACAACAAAACACGTACGCACTATTTACACAAACGCACATAACCAACATACGCTAACCACTGCGCCACCGCTCCCCGTGGCGTGACGAGGCGAGGCATGCGGCTCATTGAGACGCTGAGAGCAGGGCGAGGCTAGATCCAAGAAAACAGAGAGAGAGAGGAGGAAATCAAAACAAAATCGGAAACCCGAGGAGACGTTGAATTGGACTGACGTCACGGGCCAGCGCCGCTCCTCGCCGATCTGCTCCAGTTGCGTGTCGATATACCACTGCGAAAACTTAGAGATCAGCCGACTATGATCGGCTCATCATTCAAAAGACGAGACGGTGATGTTGCTAACCTTATGGGAGACGGAGCCGTCCGCAGCCAGGCTCCGCGATTGTGGAAAACTCCTTTCTCGGTCCATGAGGGATTCTGAGTTAAACTTTTAAAATCGCTGTCTTAAAACTCACCTATTTGTGGAACAGCCTTTCCCCGTAACTTGAGATTTGAAAACCAATGTCGTTGCCTGACTGGATTGCTCTGTAATTATGATAATAATTATCCGCTTTTTGAAGAGTTCTTCATTTAATTGAAATTTCGAGGGTAGTCATTGATATTGTTATTTTCACATTTCTAATTCCACTTAGACACTATCTTTATTTGTGAGTGTAGTTTTTTTTACGTACATCGCCTTGAGATACTTCAAAATGAAAGGCGCTTAATGAAATATAGTTTTTTTATTATTATTATTCTCTACTTTTATTATTGTTATTATCATTGCGCTCCTTTACCCACGAATGCCTCACTGAGTCGCAAGACTCACTTTCAGGAGGGTCCTGCCAGGTTTCCTCACTCGTCCATCCTCTCTCGATGTCCACGTTTCCACTCCGTACGTAGCTGCGCTACACGGCAATGCGGGCGGACCAAGTTGCAGCGATAGAACTCCGTGGGGTCCTCTCTCAAGTCTCTCTCAAGTCTACGGCGACGTTCTTCATCGCACGCCCCGTGGGCCACTGACAGCCCCTGGGTGGCCTTTAGTGCGGCCCCCGACAATACAAAGCACGTGACAACACCCCCCCCCCCCCCATCGTCGTCATCATCATCGTAGTCGTCGTGCTATATCTATGGGACATTGTTTCCAGTTTAAAGAAAAATGAAGCAACAAGAATAGGTTTTCACCCTTCCTGGCAATAAAACAGGAGCCGTTAAGATGATCAAACGCCGCAAATCGCTACCTTGTGCAAGGCACCAGGTCTGCGTTAACCACACGCGGTGCTTGTGGCAAAACGTGCAAACAAACGTGCTCTGAGAATATAATATTCGCGTTGTCTTTGAAACGGATTGGCCTCCACCATCGTGCTGCTGTCAAACCCAACAATTATTTTAAATGTGTGGCGGCCCCTCACCCACACTGATGATGTCTTATCGGCGAAAGTGCCCCCCCCCTCTCTGCGTCTCGGTGTGAGTTTATTGCTATTCATTATTCTGATCGTTTACACCCAGGCAAACCTCATTGAGTATCATAAAAACAATGTTTACAGGCCGGTGCTGACAAGTTATTTTTGTGGTATTGAACGATCGTTGCTGTGTGTACTGTGGTCCAATCGAGAAACTTGCGGTGTAATGTGTTTTTTTAAATAGAATTGGATTTTTTTGGATCGGTCATCGGCACACGATGGCCTCACTGTTGCCAAGGAAGTCACGGGATCTGATGCGTGCAGGGGCTGAGCCAGGATTTTGACTTTGGGGGGGGCTGACTTCAATATTCTGAGATATCCAGTGTTTATGTTTTCCAATGGGTGCCACAAATGTATAAAACTAATTTTATTGGGTCGAGGCTCAAAAGAAAGCCGTCCCTTGGTGTGGACCAATCAGTTTCAAGGACAATGCATATATTATCATAGTATGTTTTTTGTTTGCATTTTGACTGCCGGTATTGTGGTTAATGCAGACATGAATACTTGTAAAAAGGTTTCAGTTTTGTTGCCAGAAAAAAGGGGGAAAATCCCTATTATTATAAAACAAATTTTATTGGATTTGAACGCAGAGTTTATTAATAGGTCGGAGCTGCTGATGTGGCTAATAAGTTTGATAAGTTCGAAAGGCTGCCGCTCAAGCAGCCTGCAGGGCAGCACGAGGTGGCAGCCTGCAGCATTTTGCAGCAGCCGGATATCCGGTTATCCCGATTACGACTTTCCCAAAATTCCAGGGGGGGGGGGGGGGTGGGGGACTGAGCTCCCCCCAGCCCCCCCTGTGGCTCCGCCCCTGGTAACGTGCACTGTGAAGCAGACGTGAGTGTCGTCCATTGACGATGAAGACAACTCCAATATTAATTTGAACTAAACTTTTTATTTTATTTTACCAGGTAAGGCCCACTGAGCTATATCGGTGTTTTTTCAGATGCGACCTGGGCACAACTGATAGCTCAACGAATTAGCTTGTCACGTGGAAATGTATCTCAGCCAAATACTCTAAATCAGTGGTTCTTAACCTTATTGGAGGTACTGAACCCTGCAAGCTTCATCAGTGCATTCACCGAAACCTTCATAATTGGAAAAATAAAATATGATTTCTTCAAAACATAGGTATATATTTTATTAGTGCACAAAATGAACCATGCATCAGTTGCACACAAAATCACTGTGATCAAAGAACAAAACCAACAAAACATGAATTTCACACAAAAACATAACTCAATGAATATTTACTGCAAATCAATGTGACTTTTGCTGTTGCCTTTCAGATACAAGTTCAGAAATGCGCGGCTTCACCTTGGCAAGTGCCACTCTCATATCATTATCGCAACAAAGTCTGTTCCTTTTCTTAGTTTTTATGTCTACCATCCTCGAAAAAGATTGCTTGCAAAGATACGTTGTAACAAACGGTGTGAGTATCTCAAGGGCTTTCTTAGCAATAAGAGGGTATGGTACGATTTGGTGACACCAAAACGTTGAGAGCGTTGTTGTTCTGAAGAGTTGCTGTTGAAGCTGGCTCTGCTGAAATTAAATTATTTCCTCGAGGTATTCATCGTTGACATCTGCTGTCGCAACACTAAACGTGAATGGCTGTCTCACCCATGCTGGATATGACTCTTTGGTGGGGAAGTATCCGTCGAGAGACTTTGCGAGCTCATCCAAGTGCATGGCAATTGCTTGCTTCAGCTCCCCAGGTACAGAAATGTCTCCAATTCCAGACACGTCTTCGATCTTACACAGTCGTCCAGCAGGGGAAAGTTTGCGAAGTTATCATTCTCTGTTCGTCGTTTCCATAAAGGTAGCTTTTTTTAAACGCCTTCAGGTTTTCTTCCGCTTCGATGATGTTGACTCCACCGCCCTGCATCTGTCGATTGAGATGATTGAGAGCATCGAAAATATCGGCCATGTACGCCAAAATGAGAATGAACTCGGAATTTTCGAAGCAATCTGCGTGACAATGTTGGTACTCTCGCAAAAACAGGGCTAATTCCACACGCATGACAAAAACACGATTCAGCACCTTTCCCCGGGATAACCACCGAACGTTAGAATGGTACAGAAGTACCTCGAATTCAGAGCCCATTTCCTTACACAGCTCTTTGAAGATGCTGTGCTTCATAGCACTATTTCGCACGTAGTTCACACATTCAACTACAATTTTTAATACTTCTGCCAGTTTTGGAGGCAAGGTTTTTGTTGAATTTGGAGCTTTCGTAACTGCAGGAATTATTCTTTGTTTTTTTCGGTAAAGTCAAGTAGAAATAATAAAATAACATAATAGTGTACGACGTTTCGATTGCAACACAAGCAATCATCATCAGGTACAGAAGAGCTAAATTTACAGGTTGACCTTGCGCTAATTGTGTTTTGACCGACCGTCTGTGTTGCGTTATATAGTTTCCAAATCTTGCTAAAATCTGTTTAATTTAGTGTGCTCCCACTTCTCTCTCTCTGTATCCCCTGTTGTATCTGTGTCTGTATATATATCTGCGGTTATGTGTCTCCTCTCTCTCGTAAATTTAGCTCTTCTGTACCTGATGATGATTGCTTGTGTTGCAATCGAAACGTCGTACACTATTATGTTATTTTATTATTTCTACGTGACTTTACCGAAAAAAACAAAGAACAAGATTTTTGTTGCCAACGCATGCCTGTGCCGAACACAGTGCGTAACAATGATGTGTGGTGCATCGGATTTCACCAGCGCTCCAAAACCAGTGTCGTCCCAGCATGGCTGGAGCTCCGTCCGAACAAACTGCAGAAACCATATTCCATGAAAGATCGTTGTCTCTGAAGAAGTCATCCACGAGTTTATTCACATCGACTGCCTTGGTTGTTGTTGTAAGAGGCTTACAAAGCAAAAAATCTTCCTTTATGACGTCGTCTTTCATATAGCGCATGAATACAACAAGCTGGCTTAAATTAGAAACGTCGGTGGTCTGGTGGAGTTGGAGGCTGAATTTTGCTAGGCTTGAAATCAGATCTGCAACTACTTGAGCCAAGATGGCATCGCTCATGTCGTCTATTCTGCTGCTGATAGTGTCATTTGAAAGAGGAATTTGGGATAACTTATCTTTAGCAGCTTTTCCCAGCATGATATTTGCCATCTTCAACGCAGCTGGTTTTACGAGTGTTTCACCAATGGTGTGTGGTTTGCCCTGCTTTGCGATCAGGTACGCAACTTCGTACGATGCTGTGAGGATCGGTTTGTCGATGGGTACAAAACCGAGAACAGGCAGAGTAGCCTTTTCATCGAATCTGGCTCTCTTCACCTTGAATTCAGCGAGCGTTGTCTTCTTGTATTTCCCATCTCTATGCAGCTTTAGGAAGTGTTCGTTTAGTTTTGCCGGTGTTAGACTAGAATTGCTCATAATAAAGGTTTTTGGGTTAGATCGCGTTATTTATAAATGTGTCGTAACCCTCCACCACCCGACACGGCCAATCAGCAAAAAAAGTGTCACGTTGACAAAGAACAAATAATTCACTACATTAGCCCACCGGTGTTTTGAAGAGTGAATCCACAACATTTACAGTTTGAGTACGACGTTTCGCTGGTAATTACATCCAGCATCATCGGGCAATTCGTGCAGGATCTATTTGAAATTGCTCAACTTGGCATTGCAAATCATGCATTGAGGACGCTGACTC